GCATTTCAACAGTAATGCAATTCTGTCTATTGCTGTAGATGCATCGAGTAGAGCTATTGGGGGTGTTCTACAACAGGAAGTTAAACATTCTAAGGAACCGCTTGCATTCTTTTCAAAGAAACTAAACCCGTCTGAATGTAAATATAGTACTTTTGATAGAGAATTACTTGCTGTTTATTTAACTATTAAGCATTTCAGACATTGGTTAGAAGGTAGATCTTTTGCAGTATATATAGATCACAAGCCGCTTACATTTGCTATGAACTCAAAAGCTGAGAGAAGCCCAAGGCAAACCAGACAGTTAGAATTCATATCTCAATTTACTAGTGATATTAAATACATAAAAGGAGATTTAAATTGTGTTGCAGACGCATTATCGAGGATTCCTGAAGTTACAGCATTAGAAGCTACTGACCTGAACTTAAGAAGATTATTTGATGAACAAAACAAAGATGAAGAAATTAAATTATTAGTATATGATCAAAATTGTAGGCATAGACTAGAGTTAATAGCAATACCCTCTTTAAATATTCAAATTTGGTGTGAAACGTCACTTAGTTCAACAAGGCCATATGTCCCGCAAATGTTGCGAAAATTAGTTTTTGAGAAATTACATAATATAGCTCATGTAGGTGTTAAAGCAACACGTCGGTTGATCACAAGTAGATATTTTTGGCCAGGGATGAACAAAACTATAAATCAGTGGACAAAAGAATGTGTTAACTGTCAAAAATGTAAAACTTATAGACATACAAAATCTCAAGTTTCGAAAATACCAATTCCAAAAGGACGTTTTGAGCACATACATTTGGATATCGTTGGACCTCTTCCCTTATCACACGATTTTAAATTTATTTTAACTATTATCGATGGAAATTCCCGTTGGCCAGATGCATATCCACTTCGAAGTATTTCGGCGGAAAATGTTACAGAAACTTTCTTCCGCGAATTTGTTTCACGTTTTGGAGTTCCACTGACAATTACAACAGATCAGGGCACACAGTTTACTTCTCAGATTTTTACTGAACTAACAAAGCTTTTAGGAAGTCATAAGATTACAACCACTGCCTACCATCCGCAAGCTAACGGAATGGTCGAACGTTTTCAATGGCAACTAAAGGCATCAATTATGGCTAGTGGAAACGCAAGCAGATGGTATGAGGAGTTACCTATAGTATTGTTGGGTTTGCGATCATCCTACAAAGAAGACATTCACGCTACAGCAGCGGAGATGTTATACGGCGAAAATTTAAGGCTTCCTTCGCAAATGGTAGTTCGGTCTGAAACAAAATTTGATTCATCTGATGTACTGAATAAATTAAAGCAAAATCTCAAAAATTATGAATCGAAAGTATGTCATCATAAAGATTCACTTGTTTATATTCCAAAAGATTTATATAATTGCAAATTTGTTTTAGTAAGAATTGATAGGAAAAGAACTGGTTTACAGGAACCATATGAAGGACCGTTCGAGGTTATAGAAAAGACACCGAAGTGGTTCAAAATTAATTATCACAACAAATTAGTAAATATTTCTATAGACAGAGTTAAGCCTGCATTTCTAGATGGAAGTAAACTTAGTTCATCCAGCAAGACGAAGCGAGTTACTTTTAATTTGTTAGATATGAAAGTTTTTGGAAGAGGGGAGTAGTGTAGTGATACACATTACTTGTTAAACACTTGTTCTTAAAATACTTTGAATTATGAAAATATCTTGTTACATTTATTTATGTACGATCAATTTTGAGTTTAAAATTTTTATATTCATTGATTCAGTTTTCAATATTCAATAAAATAAAACCTGGAAAATTTGTTAAACTTAAAAAAAACGAAAATTAAATATTTTTTAATATACCTAAAATTGGCGATCCTGCCAGGAGCAATTTTTAACAAAGATAAAATTTAGAAACGTGAAAATCGCTTTCGAGGACATTTGTCGAAATTGAATTCGACAACGGCTACAATAACAAAAGCAACCACAAATTATTACAACTCTTACGAACGCGATACGGCGCGTCCAACAACATTTTTGAAAACAATAACGACGACGAATAGACGCGGCGATTTTATAGTATTGCATTAAGATTGCAAAGAATTTTTGCATTGCATCTAGTTAGCGAATACAAATGAAAACGTCGCTTGTGAACGCGTCCGATTTCGACTACTCCAGTCGCCCCGTGTACGAGGGCGAATAACGGCGCACACTTCAGCAATACGAGCAGTCTCAGCTGCAACAGCAGCATTAGGAGAGATTGCAAGCAGAGCAAGACGACGGGCAACAGCTCCATCAGCAGCAACAGCAACAGCAAGAAGAACAGGAACGAGAACGAGAGCAGCAACAACGCAAACATCAATCGCCATTTGTGCAGCAACATCATTATCAACAACAATATTTGCGTCAGCATCGTTACCACGACGACAATCAGTCACAACAGAGGCAACAAAAGCAATATAAGCAGACATCACGACAACAACGCCAACAGGAAAGTTCTGCCGTTGCCACATCGACAATTGTCTATTATCATCCATCCTCATCGCGTTTAAAGCAATCGCCAAGTAGTTTTGCTGACGCTGAACAACAACAACAAGTACAAAATATCAACAAATGTCACAGAAACAGCAGTCGCAATTATAGTCGGCCGTATAGAAGCAGCAACAGCCACCAACATCTGTAACCTTAACAACAACCACAAAACATCCAGTCTTTAAACCGTCACCAATCAAAACATCTAAATAGATAAGTTTATGTTAGCGTAGTTTAGTTGTGTTAAATTTTACACTTAGACAATTTTATTTTTTTTTTTTTTTTTAAATACAAAGAACAGTTTATTTTTTTGTAAACCTTCTTCCAATATGTTGCGTTCTCCTCAAGAAAAAGGTGCTGGGGATAGACTTGGCAGGTCTCTGATTGATATTGAAGATCCCTGTGAGGTGTCACAAGATAATATACGTAATCCGTATGACAGGTCTGAAATTTGTGCTACTTCGGTAAAATTACCACAATTTTGGTCTAACTGTCCTGAAGCATGGTTCGTGCATGCCGAGATGCAATTTGCTACAAAGGGAATTAGTAGGGATTCGACCAAGTACGAGTTCGTTATAACTGCCTTGCCTCAAGAAGTTATTGCGAATGTACTTGATGTTATACAAAATCCACCTCAGACTGAGACTTATGAAAATTTAAAAAAAGTTCTCATTGACCGACATTCTTTAAGCGAGCAGAGAAGACTTGATAAAATTCTGTCAGATACTGAGATAGGGGATCGCAGACCTTCCGAGTATTATAGGACCCTTGGTCAGTTAGCGGGTAGCACTATAGACCCGATTTTCTTAAAAAATATTTGGTTGCGGAAACTACCTAAAAGTTTGTATGTTGCATTAACCAGCGCTAATTTAAATAATATTAATGATCTCTTGCAACTCGAAGATAAAATTTGGGAAATTACCAGTGGTAGTGAAATTTGTGCTGTTAAAAGTAAAGTACTTACTTCTTCAAATAATTTTGATGACTTAGGGAAAATTGTGGAAGATTTAGCGAAGGTTACGACGAAAATGTGTGAAAGTTTTAATCGTTTGCAGTTGGACATTAATGAGATTAAAACGCAAATATATGATAGACCATCACGATCAAGAAGGAGGTATTTTAGTAATAATAAAAATTCCCAGTCACGTAGTAAGTCTCAATCTAAAAATTGGGTCTGTCGGTACCATTTCCGTTTTGGTAGTAAAGCACGTAAGTGTGAAGAACCGTGTGCCTTTAAAAGAAATAATTCTGACTCGACAAACTAGGACATGCTGTTGTTGCAGCGACTAACAATGGCAATTTGAAATTTTCAACACGTCGCTTATTTGTATTAGACAAAGAAAGTAAGCTTAAATTTTTAATAGACAGTGGTGCCGAAATTTCAGTTTTTCCTTCCTCCAAATTCAAAATTCACAAACGATCTTCCGACATTATTTTAACTGCTGCAAATGGCAGTATGATTTCGACCTATGGAAAGAAATTATTAAATGTTAATTTGGGACTTCGTCGGGAATTTCCGTTTGTATTTCTTATTGCTGACATTTCTAAACCCATCATAGGGGCAGATTTTTTTAGGGAAGTATGGACTCTTAATAGATATAAAAAATAAGAGGTTAATAGATCCCTTAACTAACTTGTCTGTCGACGCAATATCTGCGTTTTGTAATATCTCTTTGCCAAAAATATTTTCGGTTGAAAACCAATATACAAAGCTTATAAATGCTAGGAAAACACTGTTAATGCATTTCAACAGTAATGCAATTCTGTCTATTGCTGTAGATGCATCGAGTAGAGCTATTGGGGGTGTTCTACAACAGGAAGTTAAACATTCTAAGGAACCGCTTGCATTCTTTTCAAAGAAACTAAACCCGTCTGAATGTAAATATAGTACTTTTGATAGAGAATTACTTGCTGTTTATTTAACTATTAAGCATTTCAGACATTGGTTAGAAGGTAGATCTTTTGCAGTATATATAGATCACAAGCCGCTTACATTTGCTATGAACTCAAAAGCTGAGAGAAGCCCAAGGCAAACCAGACAGTTAGAATTCATATCTCAATTTACTAGTGATATTAAATACATAAAAGGAGATTTAAATTGTGTTGCAGACGCATTATCGAGGATTCCTGAAGTTACAGCATTAGAAGCTACTGACCTGAACTTAAGAAGATTATTTGATGAACAAAACAAAGATGAAGAAATTAAATTATTAGTATATGATCAAAATTGTAGGCATAGACTAGAGTTAATAGCAATACCCTCTTTAAATATTCAAATTTGGTGTGAAACGTCACTTAGTTCAACAAGGCCATATGTCCCGCAAATGTTGCGAAAATTAGTTTTTGAGAAATTACATAATATAGCTCATGTAGGTGTTAAAGCAACACGTCGGTTGATCACAAGTAGATATTTTTGGCCAGGGATGAACAAAACTATAAATCAGTGGACAAAAGAATGTGTTAACTGTCAAAAATGTAAAACTTATAGACATACAAAATCTCAAGTTTCGAAAATACCAATTCCAAAAGGACGTTTTGAGCACATACATTTGGATATCGTTGGACCTCTTCCCTTATCACACGATTTTAAATTTATTTTAACTATTATCGATGGAAATTCCCGTTGGCCAGATGCATATCCACTTCGAAGTATTTCGGCGGAAAATGTTACAGAAACTTTCTTCCGCGAATTTGTTTCACGTTTTGGAGTTCCACTGACAATTACAACAGATCAGGGCACACAGTTTACTTCTCAGATTTTTACTGAACTAACAAAGCTTTTAGGAAGTCATAAGATTACAACCACTGCCTACCATCCGCAAGCTAACGGAATGGTCGAACGTTTTCAATGGCAACTAAAGGCATCAATTATGGCTAGTGGAAACGCAAGCAGATGGTATGAGGAGTTACCTATAGTATTGTTGGGTTTGCGATCATCCTACAAAGAAGACATTCACGCTACAGCAGCGGAGATGTTATACGGCGAAAATTTAAGGCTTCCTTCGCAAATGGTAGTTCGGTCTGAAACAAAATTTGATTCATCTGATGTACTGAATAAATTAAAGCAAAATCTCAAAAATTATGAATCGAAAGTATGTCATCATAAAGATTCACTTGTTTATATTCCAAAAGATTTATATAATTGCAAATTTGTTTTAGTAAGAATTGATAGGAAAAGAACTGGTTTACAGGAACCATATGAAGGACCGTTCGAGGTTATAGAAAAGACACCGAAGTGGTTCAAAATTAATTATCACAACAAATTAGTAAATATTTCTATAGACAGAGTTAAGCCTGCATTTCTAGATGGAAGTAAACTTAGTTCATCCAGCAAGACGAAGCGAGTTACTTTTAATTTGTTAGATATGAAAGTTTTTGGAAGAGGGGAGTAGTGTAGTGATACACATTACTTGTTAAACACTTGTTCTTAAAATACTTTGAATTATGAAAATATCTTGTTACATTTATTTATGTACGATCAATTTTGAGTT